AAAAAAAAAAAAAAAGAGAGACACTATTTGAGAGATAAGTAAAGCCAAAAAGGGCTGGGAACATGGCTCAACTAATAGAGCACACCTGCCTCATAATCATGAAGCCAAGTTCAAATCTAAGTACCACTTCCCCCCTCCCTGCCAAAAAAAAAAAAAAAAAGGAAAATTGAGCTGGGTGACTGAGTCTCACGCCTGTAATCCTAGCTACTCAGGAGGCTGAGATCTGAGGATCAAGGCTTTGAACAAGCCAGCCTGGCAGGAAAGTCCATGAGACTCTTTATGTCCCAATTAATCACACCCCCCCCCAAAAAAAAACAACCAAAGGTGGAGCTATAGCTCAAGTGGTAGAATACTAGCCTTGAGCAAAAATCAGGGACAGATGGGCCCTGTTCAAGCCCCAGGACTGCAGAAAGAAAAAGGGAGAGGTGCCAAACAGGGAGGGAAGGGAGGCACTGGATGAGGAAGACGTCTTGCCCTGGGTTGTGAGGGTGGGGACGGGATGTTGAGGATCCTCACTCCGTGCTGGGCACTGGATGAGGAGCGCTGTGATCTCGGGGCCGTCTGGGAGGGGCCGAGGAGGCTGCCACACTCACTCCTTCCCAGGAGTGTACTTTGGTTTGGGCAGCATTGGGGGGCTGCCCGCTGGGACTGTGAGGCAGGAGGGTCTCCCTGGTGCCCTGCACTGAGCCTGGCCTCGCTTCCCCCTCTCCTCCCAGCACCACGTTCCTGCATCATCGACAAGGACGAGCTGAAGGACGGACTGCGCGTGCTCATCCCCATGGACGACAAGCTGTTGTACGCGGGCCATGTGCACACTGTGCACTCCCCGGACATGTGAGTCCCACGCTGGGCCGGGGGTGGGGGCGTAGGGGGAAGAGAGCACAGGCAGCCCCCAGCCCAGCAGGCCCTGTGACCCCTCGTTTTGCAGCTGAGGAAACTGAGGCCAGGAGGAAAGAGAATTTGGCCCTACTGCTGGGCACTTGGTGGCTCATATCTATAATCCTAGCCACTCAGGAGGCTGAAATCTGAGGATCATGGTTCAAAGCCAGCCTGGGCAGAAATGTCTGTGAGACTCATATCTCCGATAAACTACTCAGAAAAAGCTGGAAGTGGCACTTTGGCTCAACTGGTAGAGCCTGTGTCTCAAGTGGTTTAAGGACAGTGCCCAGGCCCTGAGTTCAAGCCCCAGGACCAGTTAAAAAAAAGAATTTGCCTGTATTTACATAGCAAGTCTGTGGCCTCAAGATCTGGAGGCCATGCTCCAGGGCGCCAGGGACTATGCTAACAATGCTGAGTTGGTGTCTCTCTGGTCCCACATTTGTTCCCTGCAGATACCGTGTGGTCGTGGAGGGTGAACGAGGGAACCGACCCCACATCTATTGCCTGGAGCAGCTGCTACAGGAAGCGGTGAGGGGGGGCAGGGGAGGAAGAATGTGGGGGGGCTGGGGAGTGGGGATGGGCATGGCTTTGTTCCTGGCCACCACCTGGGGCTCAGTCTCTCATTCCCCCAGATCATTGACGTGCGGCCAGCCTCAACGCGCTACCTGCCACAAGGGACCAGGATTGCCGCCTACTGGAGCCAGCAGTACCGCTGCCTGTACCCCGGCACTGTGGTCCGAGGTGAGGTGCCTCCTTCCCAGCATGCCCTTGGGTCTAAGTGAATGCATTCCAGATGGACTCTTTTTTTTTTTTTTTT